CATGACGACTTCAAAATATGACGATACATCGATATTAACTAAGCGATATATATCGATACTGTTCAAAAATACGATATATCTCATTTTTTGAATTTCATTTGCCCATCCCTATACTATTAGGTAAAGTGGTAGCCCTATGCGCACCAATACGTCAGACGTGTTGCAACTTTGACGCTTCAAACCATTGACTTATATATTACTAGCGCAAGGACCGGGCCGACCGAACAACTAAAACGGACCAGTGCGTTGGCCCTAAAATTACAGTTTAGAGCCAACGCGAATCGTTCGAAAGTGGTGCGCCCGCGTACAGATTTGCCTGTCACAAATATGTCTAGCTACGTGGTAAAAGAATGCAAAAATTACGATACAAAGATTTTAAAAGGGATATCGTATCATCGGTTAATAACCTTATATTAATTTTCTTAAAATTAAATTATTATAAAAACGCATTTTTAAAGGTTTATTTTACAGTTAGTTCAGTTACGTTACCAAGATTAGGCCAGGGTTGGATTCAGACCCTCAAAAATATTGTACATGGAAAATAAAATTATACTATTTAAAAAAAATATATCACGTTTGACGTTTCATGTTTCTTTTTTCCCATGTGTCGGGATTTTGGGGTCACGCGTCTAGTTTATCTATACGTTTCGGTTTTTAACCACACCCAAACACCCCCGGCACCCACTACAAACCTTTCTTCCCCATCTATCGGTTTTATTTTTACTTCTGTTTAATTTGTGTCTAAAAAACTTAGTGTAAGTTAAATTTTGAATATTGGTACCTAATATATTTTATATTCAATAAGGGTAAAACGAAAAGAGTACAAAAGAAACAATATCCGCTTAGTTGAATCTGAAATTCTGATTCATAAAATATTTTGAAATTCTGTTTTCAAACCGATTGCTTCTGGATCATAGAGTTTTTATCGTGGTAGCCCTTCATTATAGTTGTATCAAGGATGCAACATAAATGCATCAATCGAGCATCGATTGACCAGAAAGGGAGCTAATTCTAATTTTATTAAAAAAACGCGGTATTCATGTACAATAAAGAAATTCTCGATATCGTAGGGTTAGTATTAAAATGTAAAAGGACCCAATAGTAATACAAATCGACCTTTAGGTAAAATTATGATATTTTCGCTTAGTATTATTATGATACTATGTACTACAAAATATGAAATAATGGTACAAATAGGATAATTATACTACGAAATCCGACCCTGGTTACGTCGTGTTTTGTTATGACGTTTGTATTATGACAGATGCGCTACTTTTTCTTGTATGAAAAATTTATGAGTAAAATGTTTAGATGGGGCTATCCTTCCTTTTGAAATCATTGATTCAAACGCCATTATATATAAATGCCATAATATTTGCACACCACTGAGGTTGAATATGTAAAACGAATAAACTCGAACACCATTGTACAACCATATTCTTGCAAATAAAGAATATTATTATTATTATTATTGGTTTAGGAATTTTATGTCTGGCGTAATCGATGTGGTTATACTGCTATTTATTGGAAGACTTTTACGGGAACATTTTTATGGGATTTCTCACAGTCGCCTCTTACGATAGCCATGGGACTAAATGCAGTGAAGTATATCTTTATAGAATAAGTGAGACAAGCGAGCATACAGTCTATCTGAAGGTGGAGTGGATGCTGTGGCTCATAGACATCTCATCCTCATTAAGAATCAAAATTATTATGGGTTGCCGTTCTGAGGACTGAAGATGAAATGCGGAAGATGAGCTGCTATTTTACAATAGTATTATGTGAGAGTGTGGCCCATCTCCGATCGAACCGACCCATTCGTGCTACAACTATACTATAGCTGCAGCGTGGCTCTACCACGTAGTCTTTACATTTATAATTATTGGTTACGATCTTATATCTACGGGTAGCATCTTTTACTAGCGGCAAGTTATTCATCTGTCTGTACATGGTAATTTCAGATAGTGATCGTATACGTTAGCTTTCGCTGCCTCTCACTTTTTATAGTTTTATGGCGCGTCATCAAATGTTATCTGTGAAGAAAATCAAATAAGTAATACCTTTTTAAGAAAACGAGTTTTGATTTTTACGCATACTGTTCTGTTATTAAATTTGTACAAAAATTCATTGTGTTTTTTGTTAAATCACGACAGCTTACACATTAAGAGCCATACTGCATTATCGTTGTAGCACGAATGGGTTGGATCAACTGGGGAAGCACCATGCTCTCACAAAATACCAGCGTAAAACAAAATCGGAGATTCTTTTTACTGAATAAGAGACTTTAAACCTTAGTTCTAAACGATGACAACGCATCTGTATACTGATTCTTATTCTAAAAAAAATGTAGATGTCTATGTGCCACAGCATTCACTTACCATCGGATGGACTGTGAGATCGTTTGTCACTTTTATTCTTAAAAAAAAAAGATTTTTATTTAAGTGAAATAGCCAGATGTGAGCCTCATGTAAAGTTACGATTGGCAACACCGTCACGCTTCTACTTCCCTTCCTTGACGGAAGGATTGACGACAGAAGTAGAACCATTTTCATACACAAGTGACAGCGCTAACGTCACGCCACAATCGAAACAATTCGAAGTCTAAATATATCACGCTATCAAAGTTTCTGAACTCCTCTAGTATATAACAGAACTGCTTCGTTGTACCACACGAAGCGATGGGTGCTTCTTGTTCCTTTTTCCTATTCGTGTTTCTTTTGGCTTCTTGCCCGGTCGGAGATATCCCTTTTTCCTCAGCTGCCCAGCACATACATGTTTTGGGACATAGGTTACTAAAAACACTAGAGAAAATTTGCATTTTGACGAAGTTACTTTTTATACAGAAGAGGGCCATTAGAGCAATATATAATTTAAACCCAAAAGAATCACAGAGAAAAATTTAAGGAAATTAATATATTAATTCTGGCCTCTAAATACATTTATGAAAATGTAATGTACGTACCAAAATAAAAATTCGAAAAAATAAAAAACAAACACCAACTAAATTAAAAAAAAAATTAGATAATAACCCAACATTTTTTTTAAAAAAAATTAAAATTTTTTTGAAAAAAAAAAAACCCAGAAGGAAGATTTTTTAGTGGTAAATGTGGAAACAAAAAAAAAAAAAAAAAAAAAGTGACTTTCAATAAGTATTGTTATAATCTACATTGAATAAAAAAAGTTTCTGTTTCTATTCCTGTTTCTATATGATATTAGCTGATAGCCGGTGCGTTGCTGTCGCAGAAGCAATAATTGTGGCAATGTTTTAAATTTGGAACAGTATTGTTTCAATAGGAATGATAATGCATGCGTTGAAATTGAATAATATATAACTTTCAAATATATTTGTCGGTACGATACGTGCGCCATCTACTGTAAGTTATTTGTAATATGCTTATAGCCATCGCGCAAGTGCAAGCAATAAGTTGACAACATTTTAGCGCAATTTGATGAACTCTAGGGCAGCGCATAGAATACGAACAAACAAAAATTAATTTTTATATATGTATTAGACTAGCGATCTGCCGCGGCTTAGCACGCGTGATGTCTGAATTCTACAACAGCGTCACCTATCGGGTCCAACTATGCCTTTAATCTTCGCGGAAGTGCAAGCAACATGTTGACAAACTTTTACCACAACCTGATGAACGGAATGGCAGCGCATAGAAACAAATATTAATTTTCACGTCTGACGTATTGGCATCTTCGTATGAGTTAGCGAAGTGTAGGGCGACCCCCCACTTGATGGAGTGACGATCTGGTGAGATACGCAGGGAGTCGATGGATGCAGATGCCTCAGGACCGTGCTCCACAGAGCATTACTTGAGGGAGTTCTATGTTCTCTAAGCCACAGGTTACGTTCAGCAGTGGTCTTGAAAAGAGATAATTAAGTATTTAAAGGCCAAGATGAACCTGTAATTATTCTGGCTGTCTATACTCTTCCGACCGAAACACAATACTTCAAGAACTTGTTGTTTAGTGCAAAATAATGTGTGAGAGAAAAAAATGAAGGATATATTTTTTCTATGTTAGAGTTTTATTCATACACTTTATTGTAGTTACGGTACAAACGGCGGGCTTATGCCATATGACATTTTCTACCTGCTTACCGGAAAGTTGTGACAGAAGTGTGTAGTGAATTGGGCTAGGGTCAAAACTCAAAATTAATAAAATTCACACACACACACATACACACACACACACACACGCGCGCGCGCGCGCACGCAAGTACGCACGCGCACACGCTCGCACGCACGCACGCAAGCACGCACGCACGCACGCACGCACGAACGCACGCACGCACGCACGCACGCACGCACGCACGCACGCACGCACGCACGCACGCACGCACGCACGCTAGTACGCACGCACGCACGCACACACGCACGCACTCACGCATTCACGAGCACACGCACACATACACAATCCTCTTGTTATGAAATTTTCTTATTTTTTTTAAAGAGTATTAACAATCCTATAAACATTACTAATATTCCCCTTAACCACGGGTGGTAAGCTTAAATTGCTTGTGTTACGAGTGGTTCACGCCAGTAGTCGAATGGCGAATTCGAACCCACGACCTTTTTGAGTTCGCGGTCCGCGTGCTGCCATTACGTTAATGTCGCTTCAAATTTTTTTTACAATCCGTTTTACAATCTGTCAAACAGCTCAGCATTTTGTGGGCAGGCAAATGCTCTCTTAATTCCTAACATGCAATAAAATAGCATAGTACAAATATATAGCATTAGTAAGCATGCATTTATGTTATGTTACAATTATTTCAAATATAATAAACTAATAGTATCCATATAACATAAATTATGAGAATTGAATTTTCTTGGTATGACGTTTGCCAACATCCAATCGTGGTGGTGCGTCGGAATTATTCCTGATCCATTTCTCTCTCAGTAATGTAAGGAAGCCTGTGTCCAGCGGTCCAGCTTTTTTTTTTCTTATAACAGCGAATATACTAACGTTTAACGCTTTCCTTCTGTCCATAGGAGTGGTCCACTGCTTACGGCGTTTCTGGCACTCTCTCTGCTCTGCCTGGCATGTGGGAACAGTGCCGCAGTACTGGCGGCCACTGGTCTGCAGCGGGATTCCTTGCGTGAACCCCCACCGCTGACAAGCTTTGAGGTAAGTGCAGATATAATCTTAGTAATAACTGTTAACATAATTAATAGAGTCACGCGTTACTTTGGCTTTTTAATATTTTACTTTATTACTTTTTAATATCGACAACAAAGGGGTGAAGACCCGCCGACCGCCTAGTCGTCCTATGGTGGAAAGGAGAGGGAGTAATTAACATCCTATAGAATACCGAGAGGCTGGCTACTCTTCGTCTGTGCTCGATGCTGATTGAAAGTTAAAGGCTTGTTAAAAATTATTTTGCAAATCTTCTCTCTTGACTTAACGGCCAGCCACCTCAGCGTCTACTACAGCTGAGCATGCCTCGTGTAGAAGCGAAACGCGTGTCGTATTATCGAGACTGGTGTCTTTCATAGTGCAGTGGTTTGGTATTAGTACTGCTAGGTTAGTGGTGACAGGGATAGTGCACGCAATTGAGGGAGGGCGGGAGGTGCTCCTTAAACTAAGACTCATTATTTTATTTTATTACACGGAAATAAGCAAATTAATTTTTAACATCTCTAACAATTGATAGTTTAAAAACCTGAACATACACTTCGGCTTGGCCACCACTTTCTACCTCGGCACCATTTGAAGTAGTAATAACGGTATATTTAATAAAAAATACGCCATTAGTTAAAGATTTAAGATTTATTATTCTTTGATTACTTTTTTATGTAAAACTGCTAAAACGAACTTACAGCAACCTGATTGTATATGGCTACTGGAGTCCATGGTCCAAATAAAATAAAATAATTATATATATTATTAACGGTAAGTGGGAGACGTTAAGTGGGTGCTGTGGCCCATAGACATCTACATTTGCCCTCGATTAAGAATCAAAACACAGATGCGTTATCACCCCCGAAGACTAAGATGGAATGCCTCGTTTCCGGTAAAAAAAGGATCTACGGATCTCTACACTCACCAAACGAAACAGCAGCATTATGCTGCTATTTTACGCTGGTATTCTGTGAGAGCTTGCTTTTTCCCCGGTCGTGCCGACCATTCTGCTACAATCATAATATAGCTGAAAACAAAAACAAAAGTGCGTTGTCTTCTCAGTGAACTGAGATGAATTGCGAAAAAACTCTTCAAATATATTCACAGGTGTATTTAAAAAAAATGTAATGTGTGTCAACATGTTTGATAGTTATTATTGTGAATGTAGTGATCGCTTTCAAGCGGTTTCCAAAACTAATTTTATTTAGTTGTACAACCTATTATTTATCTATTAACCGCGGAGTGGCCATCACTACTCCCCATGTCGTCCCGTGAGTCGCGACAGAGGTGACATCGACAGAGGGAAACCGAAACAGGAAATGAACAGTAGCATCTTCCTCATAGCAACTCCCCCTCCAAGCCAAATTATGGGGGAGGCCTATGTTCCTCAGTGGGTTTTTATAGGCTCTAATGGATGGATCTACCAACCTATCCATTTCATTATGAAATTTTACTTTAAAAAAATGTCTCGCTGGGTTTTTTCTCGTTCTTCCCAGGAAAAAGATTATTTGATAATGATGATATTATTTTTATTATCAATAGCAGACACCATAGAAGTAGGATGGGTAAGGGCGTTACAATCGATAAGAACATATTAAATTAGCATTTAAAATTTTAGTTAAAAAATCATTGGTTCCTGCGGTTTCTTCGCGTATTGTACGTGAGGTAATATGGTCATGTAGTTGATATGGTCACTTTCTTACAACTCAAAAACAATAACCTTGTTTGCATATAGAAGCCTATACGATACGATACCATGTAATAAAAGGTCAAAAGGGCGCTGCTTTATCGACGCCATTTTACAGTTGTTATTTAGTAAATATTTTCGTCGATTTTAGTATTGTATAATGTTGTTAGTTTTTTCTAAGTTGATTTTTCGAAGTGTTCCTAATTATTTCTAAAGCTTGTTTGCTATTTTTTATTAATATATTAATTATGGTATACGACTGTATCACTGACCTCTATATATACAAGTACGCTGTATATATAGAGGTCAGTGGACTGTATATATAGGGGAAATACGTACAAAATGACATACAGTTTTGTTTTTGGGTCAAAACTCTTTGTTAATAAATCACAGCACATTTATTTTGTACACAGTAATCTTTAGTTTTATACCTATGAATTCTAATAGATATTTAAAAGATAAACTAACTGAAAATAAAGAACGATCAAAAAAATTATACAATTACATACACTACAAAATTAATAACATTAACACAAAGCTCGCAAATAAATCGCTTTGTTCTTTTGGGACATCCGCGCAATAAGCGTGGGTCCACTGCGAAACACCGCAACCAGTCTTCTCCAGGTCTTGATCGGAAAAAAGATCGTTGCAATATGTGCAAGAGCAATCCTCTTCGTTATCTTGAGCTTTGCCTGCCAAATTTTCTTCTTCAACGAATTCTTCTAACAAGGTTTTGGTAACGTTTCTTCTTCTCTTTCCTGCAAGAGCTTTAGGTTTTATGTTTTGACTTGCATTCATGTTTGGAGGAGAAGTCAAAATCAAAGAGGTTTGTTATATTACTTACGACTTACGTTTTCTTTGGCCACTAATGTAACGTTTTATATATAGGTATAGGAAGAAGGGCGTTCTTTATTATCAACAGATTTTGATTAGGAGCAGGTAAAATAAGGTCTTGATCAGTGTTTGATGTTGAATATCGCCTTGTTCAGTAGAGTCGGTTGTTTGAACTGTATCGTTTTTATAAAGTTTTATCTCGAAAGAAATTAACAGCTTTGAATAAAGGTATGCTAGTGCACAATTAGCTATTGATAGTGCACAATTTAACTTCCATTTAACTCAAAATCCATAGACAGGAGAAGAATGGACTTAGTTTGTGTAAACCCTCAAACCAAACACGCATTTGTGAACAAATTTTACATATTTTTAGGAACCTTTCTATATAACAAGCTCAACAAGTCACTAAAGGTATATAGTCTAAGTTATAAGAACTGTAATATAAGTGTAAGGGAATTTCTAAATAAATTAAATTTCGAAGACACAGAGAAGTTGTTAGAAATTTTAAAATAGTTTGTATTAATTATAGGTAACAATTAATTGTTATTTTGTTATTTAGTTATTTTATTTATTATATAATATAGTTTAATTATTTAAATATCTAGTGTCCTACATTATTAAACCCATTGTGTAAGTGATGTCTGAAACACAGGTACTCAACCTAGTTCAGGCAGGTAGCTAATATTATAAACTTGACTTTTTTATTTTTCTTTTGTATATTCTACATTATTAAGCTACACATAGTTTTAATTTTATCATAGTATTTTACTTTTGTTAGACTTATTGTTACTTTATTTAATTGTAATCATATTTATTCCTGTATGTAAACATGTGTAATTGGAAATGAAATAAATATTTATTATTATTATTATTGTGGGGTTTCTATATAGTTTTCTCATCTGGTTGGGTTCTATAAATATATAAATATAAATGAAAATGAAAAGATAAATATACATAAATATCAATAACATAAAATAAATATAAAAATACAATAAATAAAAGCCCAACCAGATGGAAGCCCTCGGCAGGGGAGACCAAACGGCCGAGGGTTAGGGGGAAAGGGAAAGAAACCGGCGGACGATGCGGGCGGTATCGAGGAGCACCGCCTTCTGCATTTAAACCTGGAGCGGTCCGTCACGTAGTCCCAGTCGCCTCAGATGACCCGAGAGGCTGACTGGGATTAGCCCGTTTGCAGAGACGACTACAGGAATAATTTCGGTCGGCAGACCACCCCACATGTCGGTCACCTCGTGAGCCAGGTCCAGATATTTTGTTTGCTTGTCTGCTTCGGCTTTTACGAGGTTCTCGTCATACGGAATGGTAATGTCGACCAAAAATATCCTTGACTGTGCCCGGTCCATCAGCACAATATCAGGCTTATTCGCAAGAATAGTCCTGTCTGTGATGATGGCCCGGTCCCAATAGAGCCTGGCGCGGTCATTTTCGAGCACGGCTTCCGGCAAGTACTTGTAATACGGCAATTTCCGATCCACGAGACCGTATTTCAGAGCGAGCTCCTGGTGAAGAATTCTGGCTACTAGGTTGTGCCTGTGCAAGTACTCAGAGTTAGAAAGCGCCGAACAACCGGAGATGACATGCCTAAGTGACTCACCGGGATGGCGACAAGCTCGACAGATGTCCACGGTGCCATCCTTTAGGATGTATCTCCGATAGTTGTTGGTCTTAATAACCTGATAAGATGTACTCACCGTTTACGTTAAATACCGCGTCCTTTCCAGTCTAACGTCTTAAAAACATCTTCCAGTGCATTTGTAAACAGTTTAGGGGATATAACATCCCCCTGTCTCACCCGCGATGCAACTGAATTGGTTTTGTTTGACTGTCCTGTACTTGGACGGACATCGTACTGGTGTTGTAAAGGCATATCAGCACTTCGATGTACCGCCAGTCAATTTGGCACCGCTGCAAAGAATCTAGAACAGCCCAAGTTTCAATGGAGTCAAAAGCTTTCTCATAGTCCACAAATGCAAGACACAGGGGCTGATTATACTCTGTTGTCTTTTGTATTATTTGCCGTACTGTGTGAATGTGGTCTATAGTGCCAAATCCTCCTCGAAACCCAGCCTGTTCCGCAGGCTGAAAGTCGTCGAGTCTTTGCGCGAGTCGATTCGTGATGACCCTCGAAAACAATTTATAGTCTCGCTCATGTACCTTATTATGAATTATTAGTGGGGGGAGGGGTGAGGGAACTACATCCGATTAGGACATAGTAAATTATCACTTAAAATTGCAGTTAAAAATATCATTGGTGACTGCGGTTTGTTCGCGTATTATGAAATTATATTATTTGTGTCGCGTGTATTCCCAATCAGCCACGGCCCTGATGTCAACATACGACATGATAATTCCAACGTAACGTTGTTGTTTAGTTAAATTGCTGTTGTCGAATGAAAGCAATCAGTTGATCACGCATGCGCACTTGTTGAGATTTCGGTACGTGCTGTGAGCGATTAGAGTGCATCCG